CCCCCCCCCCCCCCCCCCCCGTGCCAGCAACTGTGCTATAGAGATTGAGCCCAGGGCTAAGTTCCCAAGGAAGAAGATGTATTCTATATGCCAAAGGAACTGGCAGCCCTACAGGAGTTTATTGACAAAAATGTGCAAGGGGGATTTATCAAACCGACTCACTCCCAAATCGCAGTGCCGGTGCTGTTCAGGGAGAAGGATAGCTCCTTATGCCTATGCACAGATTATAGGGGGTTAAATGCCATTTGCCAGGACAATAGATATCCACTGCTGCTGATGAAAGACTTGTTAGCTCATTTGGCCAAAGGGAAAATTTTTACTAAACTGGACTTGCGGGACGCTTATTTCCGGGTGAGAATCTGAGAAAGGGATGAATGGAAAACAGTGTTCAACTGCCCCCGGGATGCTTCCGTTATAAAGTCATGCAGTTCAGATTAAAGGGGGCCCCTGGGGTGTTCATGCAACTCATAAATGAGGTTTTACAAGGAGACCTGTACAGGGCGGTGCTGGTTTATTTGGATGATATACTGATCTATACTGAAACCATGGATGAGCATGTGCATTTAGTGAGAAAAATGCTATGGAAGCTGTTGGAGGCGCAGTTGTTTGCTAGATTGTCTAAATGTGATTTCCATAAAGAACAGATTGACTATTTGGGGTATAGGATATCGCATAAGGGGATTAAAATGGATCCAGCCAAGGTAAAGGATGTGATTAGCTGGGAAACCTCCAAGATGCAGTGGCAGCTTCAAGGTTTTCTGGGTTTTGCTAATTTTTACCGCCACTTCATTCCAAACTTTGCACAGGTAGTGCTCCCGCTGACAGATCTCTTAAAAACTAAGGGCAAGGACAAAGCGAAAGCCTCACAACCTGGGGCCCTGCTAGCTTGGTCAAAATAATGCCAAGAAGCTTTTGAAGGGTTAAAGCGCTTGCTCACGGCTGATCCTATTCTTAAACATCCCAACCTGGATAAACCATTTGTCATTCAGGCAGATGCTTCCAATGTGGCGGTGGGGGCTGTGTTGTTGCAAAAGGGAGAATCAGGAGTTATATCTGTGTGCCTACATCTCGAGGAAATTCTTGGAGATGGAGAGGCACTGGCTAGTCTGGGAGAAAGAGGCGTTTGCAGTCCACTGGGCACTGGTGTGCTGGAGGCACTTGCTAGAGGGATCACCCCACCCATTCGAAATCTGGACTGAGCAAAAAAACCTGGAAGCCCTAACTGCCCTGAGAAAACTCTCCTAAGCAAATGAGGTGGGCTCAGTATTTCCATCAGTTCAATTTCTCCCTAAAGTACATTCCTGGGGGGGGAGAGAATTTCCTGGTGGACGCTTTATCTCAGCTGCCACAACACAACAGTAATTGAGAGAAAGTGATTGCACCAGTCATCCCCTGCATCCAGCCAGGCTTAAGGCTCTAGTAGTCACTAGAGCACAGAGTAAAAAGACTGAGGAACCACCAGAGGGAGAATTATTGAGGAAACTGAATGACCAGATATCACAGGATGACTGGTTTAACAAGAATAAAAGCTCCTTAGTAAATAAGCTAGGGGCATGGTGGTGGCAGGATAAACTGTACGTGCCTGCTGAAGCTAGGAAATGGGTCTTACAGAGGCCATGATAGCAAAACAGCTGGGCATTTTGGATTTGTGAAAACTTTGCATTTATTGAGGCACCGGTTTTGGTGGCCAACAATGAGAAAGGAGGTAGGAGATTATGTTGCCACCTGCCCCATATGTGCCATGGCAAAGAAGTGGTGGTGGTGGGAAGCTGATGGGACTTCTGCAACCAGTGGCAACCCCAGATAGACCCTGGAAACAAATTGCTATGGCTTTCATTGTGGACTTGCCTGAAAGCAACAAAAAGACAGTCATTTGGGTTGTTACTGACCTATTCTCTAGGCAGGCTCATTTTGTGGCCTGTCCCTCTCTTCCTTCAGCCCCTAAACTGGCTAAATTGTTTATCCAGCACATGGGGTCCCAGAACGTGTGATCAGTGATCGCGGGGTCCAGTTCACTACCAAGTTCTGGAGAGCGTTCCTAAAGCTGATTTGTATGTCCCAGGTGCTGAATTCAAGTCATCACCCCCAGATGGATGGAACTTCGGAATGATTGAACTCAGAGCAGTATTTGAAATGTTTTAATTACCAATGAGACAATTGGGATGACCTATTGCCTTTTGCTGAAGTGGCTTATAATAATGCAGTGCATCAAAGTACTGGCCTCACTCCTTTTAAAATAGCTACGGAACAAGACTTTGTGCCAATCCCAGAGCAACCTCAAGAATCCACTCAGGTCAGTTCAGCTGATGGGTGGGTCCAACAGATGACACAAGTGTGGCCACATATTTCTGCATCCTTGGAGGAGGCGAGGGCAACCTACAAGAAATTTGCAGATTGCAAAAGGACCCTGGAAAAGGACTGGAAAGTTGGTGACAAGGTCCTTCTGTCTACCAGGCATTTGAAATCTTTACAACCATCTAAAAAACTCAGGCCAAAATATGTTGGCCCATTTGTGATTGAAAAGTTGCTCAATCCTGTTTCAGTTCATCTGCAGATGCCCCCTACGTTCAAGAGAATTCATCCTGTGTTTCACTGTGACTTGCTAAAGCCTTACAAAGAATCTTCTCAATGGCACCCCTCACCTCCTCTCCCCAAACCCATTATGGTTGAGGGAGAGCAACATTTTGAAGGTAAAGAAATTCTGAACAGTAGGAAACATGGGTGTGTGTGTGTGTGTGTGTGCAGCTGTTGATGCAATGGAAGCATTTCCCTAAATCTTTGGCAGAATGGGTAGACAAAAGACATGTTAAAGCTCCAGACTTAATCAAAAAGTTTTATCATGCTTATCCTGCTAAACCTTAATACATTTCTGAATTGTGATATATATTAGGTGTCTGCTTTCTCTTTTTCTTTTTCAGATGGATGATTACACTTAATCTGACTGATACTTCTTTTTTTTTGGAGGAGCAGAATGTCAGAATCCTCGCAAACCATTCCTGCACAATATTTCTTTATGCTAGCCGCTTTGCTTTTGCACTTGCTTCGGTTCTGCCATTAAGGGATGGGAGGGGAGAATAGAAAGTGGTGTGGAGATGGAAGTTGGGACAGACCATTATAAGCAGATGGGCTCTTATCACAGGCACTGGAATGTTCAAGGTCATACCAACAGGAGAATGTGAGAAAGCTGGACATAAGGGGGGTGAAGGGAAAGAAAGGGAAAAGGTAAAAGTAACTTTTGGCACATGTGGGCTCAGTCTTAATAATGCTTTGGATCTGTACACTTACTCTCAATAAATGAACTTTCTCTTGAATCATAAATGGTTGCCTGGAGAGTTACTGGGATTGAGAGCTGGAGGTGTCAGGTCTTTACAATAGTATATACTATCTATCTATCTATCTATCTATCTATCTATCTATCTATCTATCTATCCATCCATCTATCCATCCATCCATATATGTGTGTGTGTGTGTGTGTATATATGCATATATGTGTGTGTGTATATATATATATGCATATATGTGTGTGTGTATATATATATATGCATATATGTGTGTGTGTGTATACATGCACACACATATGTATGTGTATACACACACACACACACACACACACACATATATATATATATCATATCAGTCTATATCAGTCTATATATGACATTCTATATTCATCCTGATAAAGGTACAAAAGCTCCCCCATGGGTTTGAGAATCTTGGTCTATGTATATATCCATACATAGATTAGCCCCTTCAGAGTGATGTCAGTTGGGAATCAGGGAGGAGGTAGGAGAACACATGTTGTCATTTCAGAACTCTATTCACTTGCTTGATATCCATGGGTACTAATCTGATGAGGACATAGCATTTTATTATCATTGCAATAAAGTATTGCTTCTATTTCAATGCACAATAAAAAATTCTGCTTAACTCACAAGTAATCCTTTATAATTACTGACTAATCAATAAAACCTCCTTATTGTTTCATACTCAGCCATTTCCAACATGTGCCACTAATGGGCTGATAACCAATCCTTACTGAAGACAGTAACTTATAGTGGCTCCTATACAGGTTCTTTTGAAGTTTTCTTATTTTAACAGAGCCAAAACCTTCAGTCTGACATACTACTTTAAAGATTCTTTTCTTTTTTGTTCCACTAGTCTTTTTGGTTATTCCGTGCAAGATTTCAGTGGCAGAAGAGAAGGTCAAATATATATATATATATATATGTATGTATGTATGTATGTATGTATGTATATGTATTTTTTTAAATATTTATTAGCCAGGCTGGGTTTAACAGCCTTTGAACAACACAATTTACATAGGTTTTCAAGATACATTCTGTATACAATCACTAAACCATGACATGGATTTTATAGACAGTCTGAGAACTGATTTAAAAGTCTTTCTTCATTTGAATATTCTTGCAGATGTTGATCAAATATTTTGAAAGTTTTCTTTTTCTTGGAGGATTAGAAGGCAGAAATGAAAAAGAAAATTTAACAAAACACTGCAGAAGCATGCAACGTTCATTGTGGAAATAGTACATCTCTCCAAAGACTATTGTAAGATGGCTGTTCATTTGGTATTCCCAGAATAGTTGTTATTCTTTTCACTACTACTCCAAGTATCAGGTAGGCTACAAATTTTGTCTAACAGAAGGATGGCATTGAGGTCAGTTGCCACTGCTGAGTGCTCACATTTTTACAAAATACAGCCAACTTGTATTGACAATGACATGCTTAATGACAGATGAGGTTTGGAATCTAAACTCATTTATGTTTCTCAATACAAAAATGTATATTTACAAGATGATAACAAATTAAGAAAACAGCTTTCTTCTAGATCATTTTAGTCCAAGTTGATGATATATAGATATACATGTATACTATATGTTTTTTAAAAACCCATTAGGGTGCTTGTGATTTTGCAAAAAAACCCCCCCAAAATAGGAAACACCAATAAGTAAGTTACAGTTTAAAGAGAGAGTATCCAGATATTATTTTACTCTAGCAGCAATTTCTAACTCAAGATCTTGATCCTACATTGCAAATTGGCCAGAATATTCCAAATCTCTAGTTCAAAGACAAATTGCCCAGTTTCCATTTGGGATGTTACTGAATATATACACTGAATTTTCCTTCGATTTCTTTATCACTTAAAAGAGGCTATTATTTTGTTTACTTTTTTCCCTCAGATATAGTCATACTTCCATATGTAGAATGAGCTATGATTTGAACACTTAATTATCAGGTATGATTTAAATAAAAAGGTAAAAATATACCATTAAAATCTGTATGAAATCTTTAGAAATTAAGTGCTAAATAATTCTATATCAAGCACGCTAGCTTACTTACAATATAAGAGATGTTTACTGTTGACTTTTTCATCCTAAGAAAAAGAAGCCGTATCAGCTGGTTACCAGCTACAGATTCACACTCCCCATGTTGCTGCCCCAAACAAATGATTTAGGCATTTAGAAAAACACAATTCAAGTAACAATAAGGATCCAGATTTAAATTTTACTGGTGTCTCCAGTGCACTCACAATGAGGTACTCCTATTAGTTCTGGTAGAATTGAAGAATAGTGATATATGTTCTTTTAGAGGGGAGCAGATAGGGCATAAAGTGTAACAAAATAAATAGCATTTGTATTGCTCCTGGATACTATCCCTTTAAAGGGTTGTGATAACAAGAAAATAATTTAGTATTCATCACAGGAACTCAAAGACCTTGTTTGGATCACAACTGAACTCAAGCCCTGTTGCTCAGCAGATGGAGATATATGATTCTTTCACAGAAATGATCCCTCCTTTGCCAATACACATACACATTCTGTGCTTTAGCTCATATTTCAAACGTTTTGCCCTGAACAAGGCTTTTTGCACAACACTACTTTTATCTTCAGCTCAGCAGACTCATGTGATGTACAATAAAGCTCATTGTGCCATCAACAGTACAATATTTTTCAAGAAATCCAAATCAGGAGAAAGTTCACTCTAAGATAAGAAGTCTTGCTTTTATCTGAGGAAGAAACAAATATAACAGGATTTCCCCCCACCCCATCAAGAGGAAAACATATACACTGAAATATCTATACATTTTTTTAAATACTAAGGTTCTGTGATTTTTCTCTGATAAAAAAATAATTGCCGTAAGAAGGATTTTGTTGTCTTCATTAATAAAAAGGAAACTGCATTAAATGGGTTTCACCATTGCATAGAATGATTCTAGTACAATCCAGATATTTGATCAAAAGAGACTTGGCACACTTCAGAGGCAATTGCTAGTCCCAGTACTGGTACAAAAACGATTAGCTGATGGATCACAATTTCAGTAGCATTGAATAATATATGAAGAACATGAAGAGAAAAGAAATTCTGGCCTTAACAGAAACCATCTTTCCTAACAACCTCAAATTGTCACAAATCAGGTACATTCATCAGGTACATGGGTGTTACGGCATGCGTAATTCCAAAGGGTTGGAATAGTGGAGCTTGGCCCCATGCTAGTGGCTGAAAAATGTGGAGAGCAAGGGACATTTAACCCAGGGTAGCAGAATTAAGAAAAGAATATAAGAACAAATAAATGAATATTGGTGTTGACATGAACAGTCTCTTGCTCTTGAATTCCATACCCTGTAATAGCATGTTGCAACAGTAGCCTAACTTTCTCAGTTAAGAGTGATAATTATAGGCTTCCAATTGTTGCTTCCTAGTTCTTGAAATCTCCATGGCAACCACTGGAAGATTCATTGTCTTTGTTATAAACCTTAGCAAGAACAAGATTGTCATTCATTTGCACAAATTGCACATTTCATAATTTAAAACTCACACATACACCCATACCCTTTACACTGAATTAGGGAACTGGCTGTTTCAGAAACAGTTTCAGAGAAACAGTACCAGTCTGTGCAAGATATTTTTTCTGCTTCTCTTGTGGTACCTATGGGCTGAAGTAGTAAATTATTTCAATATGAGCTGGGGGAATGGCAATGCCAACTGCCCTCAAGGATTGAATTAAAATTGATATAATTATAAGGAGACAAATGAAAGTTAAGTCAGAACATTGGTTGTTAATATATATTCTTATACCCTATCTCGTCCTGCTCATTACAGATACAGGATGAGATATAAGTAGTGGTAGAAAACAAAATTGGGACTGTGAACCCTTTCTTGGTTATTTATTGGCTCATGATGTGTTTCTTTCTTAAAACATAAAATATAATTTCAATACTTTCTTTCCAGCATATATTTTCTAGCTTCTGGAGTTCTTGAAAAAATGTTCACTGATTAAATTAACTAAAACAGGTTGTTCAGAATGTATAATTTTTAGATATTTCTTTAACTGTAAAGGTAGTAAGATAAGCACTGCCATTTGAAGTCAAATTGTTATTTTGCTGTGCATATGTACTTTTGATACTGTACAGTTTCTATAATAAGAATAGAAAGCCAGTCAGCATAGTTAACGGCTAGGTATATTCAGTTTTGTTCACAGAAGCCATAGGTAGCCTCATTTTTGTTGCTTCTAGAAAATACCTAATGGATGGTAATGATTGCTGCAGGCTTAGATATCTCTAGAAACATTTCTCTCATTTTATAACCAAGATATGGTCTTGTCATACAAAGATCTATAATACCTTCTCACTTGCATTTTATTTAGCAGAATGCCTCTTGTGAATGGATGTGTGCATTTGTGATGTTGTATGCCATTACACCTACTGTGGAGGGTGGTATCACATTCTAGAAGTCATTTTTTAAAAAATGATTTATAACTCCAGAATGAGCAGGGAGCCACTGGCATAGTTAGCGAATTTAAAATATGGATAGCTTCAAACTATAGACATTTTGAAACATCAATTCTTTGTAGTCCACAACAGCAAGACATAGTCCACAACAGCAAGATAGGTAGTGACACAATAGTATCCATCTCTGTTTAGAAGCCCTTTGAATCAACCCCATTATTTGTAAACAACAGACTCAGAAAAGGCAGGGTGGACTGGGACTTCTTCCACACACTCAGGGCTATGTTTTATTTCATGCTATAGTGGTAACTGTACAACACATCCTGGGTCTTTCCCCATTTCTATTTTCCTTTGGACTTCATGTTCTAAGATGGTGATTTTGTATTATTCACATGGAGAAACACTGAGATTATTACTCTAAACTGATACTCCAAGAAAATAAATATAAACATTGCTACTATGTAAGATAAAAATAAAAGATACTGCCATTTGCCGTACCATCTCACTGTGCACACTCTGAAGTACAGAAGAACATAGTTGAATCTTCTGATCAGTGAGAATGGAAAGGCAGTCCTTGGGTGCTTTTGCATAAAATGGTCTCCCTTCTGATTGCACAAAAAACCCTAGATTACATTTTCTGAGATTCTGCCTCTAACTACAACCAATGTTTCTGCATTCCTACTTGCCTTCAAGTGCAGGGGTACCATTAGTTTACTTCATGGCTACAAAGATTCTAACATCACTGAACCCTTAGCTCACAGTCCTTATTCAGGTGGACTTATTTTATCATCTGAGCCAAGGGTGATGCCTTTTCTTTTGCTGTTTTGTTTTTACACAGCAAAACAAATGGACTAGCCCTCATAAAAATGCGCTAAGTAGCCCAGAATATGTGTTACTTATTTCATATCCTGAAAGCCTACCTAAATCTAACATCAAAGTGGAGTCAAGTGGAGTCTTGGGATCACACAAGTAGACTCTTCCAGCTTGATCTCTCTGACACCAAAAAAGGACATCTTTGCTCAATGAGCTTGTGTGGAACTAACCAAAAGTTTGTGCCAGTTTACAATTCTTTTCCTGAGGTCCACTTTATCAAGCCAAATATATGCTTCACCAATCAAGGTCTTCTTCATAAACTTTCCTCCATTGGAAACAAGAAGAATCTAGGAAAAAAGCATTTCATATGAGGTTAAAAACTGCTTCAATTCTTTTAACTCTTTGCAGAAAAAATGGTTGTTGTATAACTAATTAATATGGGTTCATATCCAACTTGATAGCTCAGTATTGCCATGGGATACATTCAACATATGTGTTATTTATCTGAATGATACCTGGCTTTTTCCCCAGGAGGCAGCTTATAGGGAATTCCCTTCATCCAATGAAGGTTATAACAAAAAAAGACATCTGAGCTAAGGACGATCTCACACACACACGCACACACATCATCCTTCCTCCCCAGTGCTTTCAAGCTCCTGCTTGCAATCTAGTGTCTATACTGCCAATTTCTTAGAATTGGCAATTTTAAGAAAATACAGAAAAAAACTTAGAGTAATAAAACACTTAGAACAAACAATTAAGAAACATGAATTAAAAATGTAATATACAGCCATTCATTCTATTATTTATCTAATTATTTTCTATTACCAAAACAAACAACAAAAAGAACAAACAAAACCAAACTCTTAAAAATTAACATTAAATTAATATGTCACCAAAGTATATCACATATATCAAATAATCCATAATGTGTCTATTCTTATAAAATATTATTTATTTATTTATTCAATTTGAATAGGTTATGAAATCTATGTGAAAGGGAAACATTGTGTTACAATGATGTATCATGAAATCACCAGGAATCAACCTTGATTGAAGGAAATTTTACCTTTACGTATCACTTTATTTGTTCACATGGCAAATTCTGCCTATTTCTACCCTCCAATTCATAATGACTGGGGTTTGCACAACATGGTAGATAACTTCTGGATAGTTTCTGGTTCAGTCTTTTCTGGGAAACTAAGCAGTTTAGCATGTTGTGCAAATAAGGCCACCATGATAAACCATAATATGGTCTGTGTATGTAATGCCAACTTATTAGTTTATATAAACCTGGCCCAGAGATCCATGTCAACATGTTATTTATGTAGGTTTCGGTAATTCAGTTTAGCTATACTGTAATCTCAGTTGCAGAAAATCCCAAAGGAGCAACTTACTATTTTTTTTATATGCCCAGAGCCAAGTTTCAGTTAAGCTATCAACTTGAGAAGAGGCAGGATCTTAAACCAATTATTTTAGGTCAACCTTCTTCAGCCAGGTGCCTTCTAATTGTAACTATATCACATCTGGAGGATACTAAACTGAACAAGATTGTCTTCTACAAGACTATTCTTCTCTTAAAGTGCCCAAAAGTCAGGATGGGAGGTACACAGGTCATAATGAGAAATCATACAACAGTGCTCAGGACTAGAAAATATCATCAGCTCTTGCCCTAAAGACCTAAAGCTCTTGATCTAAAGTTACAATATCACCAAAACAAAAACAGAAAACAACAACAATAACAACTGTGTTGACAATGTTGTTGGCTAATGCTGATCTGCAGCATAACTGAAATACCTTCCAAATCTTTTGTTCTATTTTTTAAAATAGAAATATGATGGGGTGGAAATAATATCAAACAAGAACTTTTTAAAATCTTCCTCTTAATTTTCTATCAAAATGACACTTGAACAATTCAGTTAGGGGAAAGGAAAATAAAATAGAAATGATGGGAACATGATTTTCTGCAGACAAAAAATGTAAGAGTTAAGCACTTGCCTTGCTGAAATAAGCAAAATACTTGACAAAATTGGGAGGGTAGTCATAGAAATGATACTATAAATATTAGAGTCAAGTGAGTGAATGAAAAAATGAATTTCAAATGCCCATATAGAAAGTCTACAATCCATGAAGTATGAGGTGGTTACAAAAAATACGCAAGCAAAATACCTGGAGAGAATGACCAGTGGGACTCAAGCTGAATCGAAAAGTTTCATTGAATGAAGGTTCTCGGTCATGCCTGCACACTCTTGTTTTCTTCTTCATCACCCTCTTTTGAGTTCCAAGGTTGACAACATATAGCTTTACATATAGATCTATGAAAATAGATAGTTTGGCCTATTTTATAGAATATTCATAAATTCTTAATTAATTCAGGATGGCAAACCTCATACATAATTAAGACTTGAGAGGAACTTCTCTTGGCTATTCCTGTATTCAGTATCTTAGCATCTGGCTGTATTTTGAATTTTACAACACCACCTATGACCCCAAAGCTGTCTTGAGGGCTATGGAATTTATTGAATCAAATTCTGCAGAAATCTGTGTAAAAGAGATGAAGGTAAGATTAAAAAGCCCATAAATATTACAAAAGGAAAATGTGGCTATAATTTAGTTTAGAATTTACCTTCCATACAAAATTATTCTGTGCAATTCTATTTCTACTCCATTAAATATTATTGTATTATTCAAATTGGCCTTTGATTGACCTGATTAAAAGTGTCATCCAGCTAGGATCAGCAGAGGCTCCAAGTAACATAGACCATAAGGGAAGAGGACCCAAACTATGCCTTGCACTGTTCCAAGACCAAGCTCATGTCTTTATTAGAAGGGAAAGTGAGAAGAGTTTTTATACAACAATGCATCAGGAAAGGTTAAAATTTCCTTGGCAGGACAGCTGAAGCTCTCCTGGAGTAGCAGAAAAGCAAAGAGGAAAAGCCGAGAATCAGAAAAAGTCCCTTTGGCAGAGACAAATACAAATAACTCAAAGAAGTATGAACATCAAGAGGTACTTGGTGCCAGTGGAACTTCAAAACCAGTGTCAGGCTTTCCTACTAGAGGACATTCCACAGTAATCTGAGCAAACCTTGTTATGGAAGAATATAGAAGACACTTGGGCCTCTATGAATTGAAGAAATCCAGGAGCCATGTTAAGAAAGAAGAGACATATAATTGTGTGGGAATGACTATTTTTTGAGAGGAACTGAGGTGACTGCGTGTGGACACAATATGAGGTTACAGGAGGTCAGTTGTCTTCCTAATATCTATATCTAGGATATGATGGGATGTTACTAAGACTATTGAAAATCACTATCCTTGATTCATATCGGGGCAGATATCCATGGTCAGAAAAGACTGTGAACTAGTCTCTGGAGAGTACAAGAGCTTGGGTAGAAATGTGTTGGAACTGAGACCAAAGTAGTTTTTTCATTAGTTCTTCTAGTTGAGGATCATAGTGGAAGAAACCATGATCCTGAAAGTCAAGAATTGGCTACACCAATGTTGTTGCCAAAAAGTGTTACATTTTATGAAGATTGGGAAGGAAGTATTTGGCAGGTGCTTTGGCAATTTGATCAGGAGAACTTGAAAAAGGGTAAAAGGGGGAGGATTGCAAAAGCCCAGAAATTAATACATAGCAAAAGCCTGGGGCTAAGTAGAACACAAAGGGAGAAGCAGGAGGCCAGGAAAGGGATTCAGAGATTTGCAGGAAACTACAACGCGGAAGTGAGATGTTTCTATACCAATGTATGGACCATGGGAAATAAACAAGAAGAGCTAAAGATCCTAATGCAGAAAGACACATACAGTGTGATAGGCATGATTGGCACATAACATTTATGTGCTAATCATAAAATAAAATTTATCATTTACTTTAAAATCTATTTAAGCACGGTACAGCTTCATAGACATGCAGGATAGATGCATGAAACCTTTCTGTGGCAGATAACAACCTTTGAAAGAGACATGGGATAGTGGCAATGGGAGATTTCAACTGCCTAGACATCTGCTAGAGATCTACATCTGCCACAAGACATAGATCCAACAAATTCTTCTCTCTTCCCAGAAGGTAGAAAGAACAAGAGTGCTTGTTATCTTGTCAGAAAGGCTAAAGCTCAAAATGAGCTGAGACATGTAAGAGATACCAAAAACAAAAACAAAAAAAGTTCTTTGGGTACATAAGAAACAAAAGGAAAACCAAAAAGAGTGTAGGTCAATTGCGAGAGGAAAGTGATGAAACAGTGATAAGCAATGGTTAGAAAGCAGAACTTCTTAACTCCTACATTGGGCCCATCTTCTCTCAGAAGGGAAATGAAGTCCTAGCTGGTCATTGTTATGCCAGTGGGAGAAGGAGGGAACTGCAGGTTAGAATAGACAAACGAGAGCATAAGAGAGAATTTAGCTAAATTGAATGAATTCAAGTTTCCAGGATGAGATGGATGACATCACAGTACTCGATCCTCTAGTACTGAAGGAACTAGTGGAAGTGATTGCAGACCTACTGTTGGTAATCTTGGAGAACCAGAGGCCTGGTTAGGAGAGCAGATGCCATCTCCATTTTCACAAAGGGGAAGCAGGAGAACCAGGAAACTACAGACTTGTCAGCTTGACATCTATACTAAGCATGATCCTCAAGCAGATTAACAAGAGCAGGTCTGTGAACAGTTAGACAGCCATATTATGATTAAAGTATGGATTTGTCACAAAGAAATTGTGCCTACCTAATTTTAACTCTTTTTTTAGGAGGAGACTGCCACAGACATAAGAGTGCCTTATGATACTCTCTTTAACAAAATGGTAAAATATGGACAAAATAACACCACTAATAGATGGACTCACAGTTGTTTGAATGACCAGACCCCCAAATCTACTCATTAATGGCTGCAACTTTAGCTTAGAGGGATGTATTTAGTGGAGTGCCACAAGGTTCTGTCTTAGGTTTTGTGCTGTACAACATCAATAATTTGGATGAAGGAGTTGAGAGGACATTTATTAATTTACAGGAGACACAAAGCTGAGTGAGGTGGCCAGTACTTCAAAAAGATCTAGAAAACTTTGAGCAATTGAAATTGTACAGGGAGAAATGTAAAATTCTACATCTGTGTAGGAAAAAGTTAAGGCACAAGGTATTGGCTTAGCAAGAGTATATGTGAAAAGGATCTGGGTGTCCTGGTTGACTAAAATTGAACATGAGCCAGCAGTTTGATGCAGCTGCTAAAAAGGCAAATGTTATCTTGGAGTGTACTAGCTGGAGCAAGAGTCCAAATTATGGGAAGGAACTCTACTATGTCCTGGAATACTATGTCCAATTCTAGGCACCAGAATTTAAAAATGACAGTGACAAACTGGAGTGAGCTCAAAAGGGGACTACCATAATGATGAGGGGACTGGAAACCAAAGTCTATGAAGAACAGTTATAGGATTGGGCTATGTTTATCCTATAGAAGAAATGATTGAGGGGAGAGATAATTGCAGTCTTCAGATATGATGATTCACCGATGATGTTACCTAGTCGAGTAATGAAACATTTGCAAGCAAACAACCAAGCTCAGAGAGCACCAAGAACTACACAGTTCAACCTTGAGCTACAGATATTCTCTTCTATGGGAATCTTCAAATATCTAAAGGGTTACCATGTAGAAGAGGGAATGGACATCTTCTCCATTGCACCAGAGGACAGGACCAGATAGTGGTCTGTCAGAGATGTTTTAGTGGGTCCTGCACTAAGCAGGGGTTGGATTACATAACCTCTAAGGACTTTTCCAAAGCTATGATTTTATGAAAAAACATCCTGGGAGAAGAAAATGTCTATGAAGGCTTCAGGAGCTGAACTTAAGTTTATATTATCTCTACATGAAAATCAGTTTCACCAAAATGGCATTCAATTTCTGAGAATAATTTTTTCCCCCTTGTGCCTAATGACAAAACCCCCACCATGCTATTGCTGTACATAAATAATTAATGTAATAAGTAGTTAGGGCCTGATTACTTTAAATTATATATTAAAATACTGGTTCATGAATAAATGATACCTGGTAAGTGATCTGGAGATTTAAACTTGTAAGTTATATTCCTGCATTGCAGAATTTCCACTATTAGCTGTTCTCCATCAGTCTTCATTTCCTTCTTTAAAGCAATCTTTATTTCACCCATTACCTGAGTTTTACCTGTAAAAAAATGAAAGCAAAATTAATTCAACCATAGTGAAAGAAAAATATGTAACACATTTTATATTACTGGGGTGGTGGAGGATTTTATTTATTTATTTATTTAATTTCATTTATTATAGCTGCCCACTTGAACAGACTCTGGGAAGCTTACTAAATCTAATAATAACTAAAACAATTACATTATTACTCTCAGATTCAATAGAAGGGCTGTGTAATGCTTTGGGTTCAATCTCCCAAAAGTACTTCAGAATGTGTGGGAGAATGTGTGAAGGTAAGACCTCCCTACAAACCCTTAATATAGCTCCACCTTTGGCAATATAGAGATTAACACAAGATGTGGCCAATAATCTTTTTAGAGATAACCAATGAATGGAGATGGTGATGATGATGTTTGCCAGTGGGGATTGGCAATAAATTTCCAACTGACAAAAACTATTTTTTATTTCTTAGCTGACAACTTATTTGATAATTTAATTTAAAAAAAAATCTATTAAGGATTTTAACAATACTAAAAGATAATACAAATTAATATCCAAAAGAAAAAAGAAAGTAGAAAGAAAAGAGATACAAAGTACAAAAAGAAAAAGAAAAAGAAGGAAAATAGAGAAAGAAAATAGAAAAGAAATAGAAAAGAGTATTTAAAGAAGTGACTCCTGATCTTCACAACAGGTACAAGCAAATTAAATATTCCCCCCCCCCAAATTATAAACATAATCCACTTCTTCCCATTATCCCCCCTTTCCATTCACAAATCCAAAAATTGTTATTTCTGTCGGGATATCAACAAAAAGTCCATAAAGGATTTCCAACATTTTATGGCAGTATTTTTTATTTTGCCCTTGGAGGGGGCAGGGTTCTTGATCTTTAATTCATCAGGTTGCTGTTGTGGGCTTGAATCTCCATTCAAACTTTCTTCCTCCTGTCTCAAATATTTCTTCAAAATTTTAGAAACCCTCTTTTGTAAATCCATGAATAAGTCTTTGTCCAGGTCATTTTTCATGTCTTGGCTTATCATTTATATTTCCACTTTAACTGTTTTATAATCCATGATTTCTTTGTTTTCCAATGTTTCTATATCAGCTGGAATTTGTTTCATCTCTTCATTCTGTTTGCCAGTAAATTCTTCCACATTATTCCCTTTTTCATCTTTCATTTCCTATTTAGGATCTTCTTCAAGAAATGCATTAGCAGGTGCAGTACTGACTGCTGTCAGTTTAACTGTAAGTTTCTCTCTCAGTTCTTCAAAGATGCTTTGAAATGTCTCAAGTATCATGCCGTTATCTATTATTTTTTTCCTTTTTCCTGCCTGGAACTTTAGACCCCTCGAGTGTCCAATTTCAATAGAATTTCAGCAATAATATCTTTCCTGGTAGACTAAACAATTTAGATTCCCAAGAAGATATTGTTTTATTTATCTTCTTATTTCAAAAATCTTAGCAAAAGTTCCAATATTCCAAATTTTTCTGGTCCCTTAATCTATTTAAAACTTGCTTGAATTAAATTCTTATT